AGGAAGGCCACCAGTTCGGCTCTTTTCCAGCCTACTGTGAAGTGTACGTGAAGGGAAACTAAGTTAAAACGCCCTTTAAATGCCAATGTGAGAAAGACGGATTTACTTAATCAAAGTGAGGGAATAAATATGCATATAACCCCACCAGTTTGCCCTGACATTTCCAGTTCCTAAAGATTTAATGCTCTTTTAATAATTCGAGTGTACAACGCCAGGATAATCGATACAAGCCGTCAATTTATCGTACCTCCGTACTTTCAACTTGTTCTAAGAGGAAGTCCACGTTGGTCGACAGATTTAGCGTTAATAAACAATAAGTAAAAACTTTACTTTTTACCACACTGACAACATAGGTACTAGGTACTGACAGTTCGATCATCCATTTCGACGAAGTCAACTGTGTGCCCGACAATGTGACGTTGACTTGCGTGTATCTATCGCACGTTCTCTTCGCTTTACCCACCTGAGCCCAATGTCAAGAAGACCGGAGGCGGGATCGGGCGCAGGCGGCCGGAGCCGTCATGTCTGACTCAGATTCCACAGAGTTGGAGTACCATAAAGGCCGCAGGTGGCTGAGGCCTGAGTCTGCCCCTACACATGCCATCAACGCCCCCCATGTTCGGCATTTGCTATGGGAGCACAACCCGAATAACAACTACTATGTCTTGGTCTGGCCCCCGTGTTGGTCAGGCGCATCTACCACGCGGCCCGTTTAGGGAGTATAGCAACGAGGTGAAAGTCTGGACACGTATGTATCGCCGACATTGTGCTGCTGAAAGACGGAATCTTAAAGGGTTTGGTTCATCAATAAATTCCCCTGCATTCTTCGTGTATTGCTTGGTACATGAACATCAGGTTCCAAGCTGCCTTGTTTAATTTCCCAGGAGATAAATGCGTGAAGTCGGAGTCAAGCCTTGGGGAACATAACTTTTTAGGTCTAGGTCCATAAGTTGATGTGAATATTTAAGCCGAAATCCATCAGCTACTGTGGAATAACGCGTTGTATTTAAAAGCTGTCATAAGACAGTCAGAAATAACTATGCTGTCAGTATGGTAACCAATTACGTAAATGTACGCTACTGATTGTCTGTTAGCAGCTTGTAAATATGATGCGGTCACTTCGTAGTATCTGACGGATTTCAGCTCAAATATTCATATCAACTTTCCGAACTAACCTGAAGAGGTTTTCCCAGAGGATTGACTCAAAGTTTGCGCATAAGTTCCCTCAACAATTAAACAAGGCAGCGAGTTAGAGAATATCATCCGATACGAAGAAGGAATATAGGAAAAGAGACAACAGTTTTGGATTAGCGCCTCTGCTCGGGGCTAACTAACGCGGGAAAGCAAAGAGAGGTTCGCTTAACCTACCTACCTTAATAACAATCTAACTCGTATCTGGTTCACATACAGTTGGAGCCTTCGACCTGTCGAATTCGCATCGAGTGTGGAATTGACCAGCTGCATAAGTCCCTATTGTAATATACTAACCAATCTGTGCAACAACATATCAGGATTATGAGGCCCACCTAAAGCCAATTATTTGTCAACCTCGAAAGGATACAATAATAGGATTATAACTTGCAATGCACTGTGGTCAGAGTAGGACTCGTTGATAATCAGAAGCCATCGGAGTAGCAATCACGTTGAAGTGCAGCAACAGCGGCAATTCAGTGATGAAGCCCGGGTGCTTGAGCGCAAAAGGTCACACAGACCTTGCCTTTACTATGGTCGAAAATAGATTATCCAGATCAGAGCTGGCTGAATGTTGAAGACATTGTTCCGACAGTCCAACCGCCGATTTCGACGACATCCACCGTACGCTCCACAGCAAGGTGTTATATGGACGGCGACTTACATGTTAATTAATTTCAAATGATAGTATACCTGCGCAGCATTTACCGCACTATCTTCTCTCAGAAACCTGAGTCCGGTGTCGAGGCAGAGTCAAGAAGACCGAAGGTGGGATCAGGTGCAGGTAGGTGGCGCGGCCGACGCCACTCCTATGTGTGTCACCGCGCCCCCTCCTCCATATTCGGCATTTGTTATTGGTACGCCAACCGAAAAACGCCTGCCGTACCCTGATCTGGCCCCCATGTTGGTCAAGCGCATTTGTCACTTGGCCCGTTTAGGAAGCACTGAGCTACACACAGCCAGTTTCTTCCGAATTCGGTTCAACCACCACGAGCTGCTCTACCCCGACTAAATAGCCAAACTTAGAGCCCACCACCCTGTGTTGCCGAGAAAATAATGAAAATAATTTAAACGGCAGAATAAACTAAACAAAAAACGCGAAAATAAAAAAACTGGACACAATAAAACACGCACCCTCAGGCGTCCATCCAGGAAGGCGGAGCCGCCTTCAGCGATACGTAGGACGGTGAGGGGCATCTGGTTGAATTCGTGACCACCGCGGATAGAAAAACCGAAACCACGACTGCTGCGGAAGAGAGTGATCTCAAAGAGGAGGGCTGGAACGCTGGACGTTATTGGCAGTGGCAAAGACGAAGGTGGCAGTGGTCCGAAGTGCTGATGATGTTGTTGCTGGCGCACAAAGTCCTTCTTAGTCAGAATGTGATCTTCGTAATGCGCCATCGCTAGATTAGCAGTAAGGGAACAGACATAAGACGCGAGCCTCATCGAGCTGACATGTTTGCATACTCAGCCACTGTGTGCAAATACAACGCGCATCCATTCATAAGGAAATGATTATATACGATTTCAGAGTTAGTTAACCAGTTAACTTCATGTTTCTGATGGGCACTAAGATAAAAATGACAGTCGGAGCACGGCCTCACAGATCGAAAACTTTGAGGGAGGCAAAAGGTCCAAATTCAGCCAATCCATACAGACGGTACGATAATAAAGAAGCGCACATATAATCAGTCAATGCACAGTTGCTAACTACTTCGAGGACAGTCCAGAATACTCCTAGACGTAAAAAGTAAAGTTTGAAGGTCTCCACATCGTGAAATTGTGACTTGAGACTGAGAGGACCATTGGCCACCTGGAAAAAGCTAACAACTAAGATAAGACAATGTTTGTCCTTATTTGTGCTTTTCGTGAAACCAGTCGGCTTTTCGTGAACCAATTGACAAGCCGTCCAATGTTCGTGGCCAGAACGAATATAGTAGAGCGCCTACCTCACGAAATCTCATGAATTTCACAAGAAAGTTCCTGATACGCAAAATCAGACCACGCTGCGTAGCCCAAAGTTTCAAAGCAGTAAAGGAAAGAGTGTTCTTACAAAGAAGGCATACCGTAGTTCATAAATTAATACTACATTGTTTAGAAATAGTCAGTTTCTTTAGAAAAACTGAAATGCCAAAAATCAGTGTAACTAAATAGATTTGCGTTTCATATGTACAGACAACCTGTCCATGCAAGAACCCAAATGAATAAAGCAGCACATGTACAATTATATTTGGAAATGGGTCCTTAAGTAAATTATGCAAAAAACATCTAGTACTTGAGAGAAGACACTGATCTGACATTCGTTAAGGGGGTCGAATGTCCGAGAAGCGGGCAAAGAGGGGTCCAACTAAAGGAGACCCTGTCGCAGCATCCAAAATTTGATAGGATTCTTTGAAACCGTGAAAGCGTTTACAGTAAGACCGACATGCCTTAAATCTACTGCGGTCTCACCCTCCACGCACGTATTGGTTTTATGGCAAGACACTGTCAAGTCAACCGGAGGAGGACGCGGGCGCGACGGTTGGCAGAACTAAACACCGTCTACGCGTACTACACACAATCTTACCCCCATTATACGCATCGGGTTTACATGAGAGCGAGTAGAATCTTGCATGTGTGTAGGTGCCACAAATTGCACATGAAAAAGGAGTATTATAGCCCAAATTCGAATTCTGAAAAGATTAATTCCTTTTAGTGAAGTGCACCGACTTCGTCTCAAGTGACACGGTCTGCACTCGCCACGACAGTATCACCATCTAAGAAAGACGACTGAGGTGGCTTGGGCACGTTCTTCCCAGTTTGCCTCACGGGCTCATTTATAATGCATTCGATCCGGCGCTGTTGCCTACTCGGAGGCGTCGAAGGGGAGGGGGAAGAAGTCGAATCAGGACCTAACTTGATACAGTTCGTCAGGACATGGAAACGGTTCTTGGACCTTCAGTGCTCGGTCTCTGTCGCTGATAAAGTGAATGGGCTGAGCTCTCCACATCCAATGCCACAATTCATCATGTGCGGAGAGAGATACAATAGTTGACATCATGGAGGCCAACTAGATCAGGCGTGATCACAGCCGTACCAAGTAAAAGTACGCCATAGAAGATTCAGGCGCGTCAGACATATTAAAGTGGGGATGCACATGTGTTCCGAATCGATGAATTAACCAAAAGTCGACCTCACTATCTACTCTCACCTAACTTGCCAACGAACTGCTGTCGGGCATGGTAGCAAGGGCTGATGCGGAATGAAAGCCCAAGTCTAAGGCGTGCCACACATCATAGTAGGGTGGGGGTGGTCACATGGACTCTGCGCCGTACGGCAAATGTGTGCCTTGAGCCAATCATAAATACAGTATGGCGAGTGCCGCAAGCAACATTCCGCAATTTGTAAAAGACCGGTAATCACTCGAAAAAACAACATTGAGTAGGGTTGCAATACTGTTTATCATGCAGTCCAATTTCAATTATTTTCTGTCACGCTAAGATGCCGGCTCTGTGATAAGCTTCTTTCTGACCGCCGCGAAAAAGTTGATTC